CGACAGCGTTGTGTAGCACACTGGTCGGGGTTATGTCTATCGGGGATGTCTTTGTCTATGAAACTTGCTCTGGTGGTGGGTGATTTTGACATACTTTCGCCATAGATTCGTTTTACTTGCTCTGTTTTTGCCAAAAGTCGCCTGAACCTCTTTCTGCTTACTTTAAAGATTGTGAAAATAATACCAGCGTATAGCTAAACATTTGATTCAAAGACAGCAGTTATCTAATCTTTATTTCCCTTTCAGGCCATAAAATTTGATCACAGAGCTATTCGCGTGACTGCGATCAACTGTCTGGTGGACGTCTTTATCCTTTTTGGCTTGCAACCCTTTCTGACAGTTGCCGAAACCTTGGACAGTGCCCAGTGTGAGATAAGTACGTTCAGAGTATACAAGAACTTTGAATAGGCGTTTATGTTTTTTGACAGCCCGAGTCAATCATACCAGCCGGTCAGAGGTCGGCAGGTAGAAGGAGGAAACTAGAAGCCTACTTCTTTTGTACGAAACGAAATGCATGCCTTCAGAAGCAGAAATTGCTCGTCCTGAAATGAGTGAAAAGAAGACACTGCCGACGTAAGCGGCGTGATTTTCAGATTTTAAGAGATTTACGTAAGCAGTCTTGTATTGGCTCCCTGTGTTTGCACGTTGGTCTTTGGGGTTAAACATAACTTATCGGGAGACTTGTTCTGGTCTTCACTTGTTAGTCTGCTTCCTAGTCTTTTGTTCCATCTTTTGATAGTTGGCTTCATCTCCATTCCGTCGCTCCGCTTCGGTGATATATCGGGTTCAGCGAAATGGCACGACCATGATTACGTAAATAGCACTCTACAGGGTGTCCGCAAAGTCTGGGTACATAGGAATTTTAATATTTTATTTATTTATGTTATTTTTGATGGTACGGCAGAGTCCCATGATTAGTCAACAACGTTTTGGCTCTCAGTACAGCTGCAGCGCAAAGTCCCACACCGTGGCTTGACAACGCGTCAATAATTATCGACTTTTCGTCCTATCTGATTGGACCGTGAATACTGACGCCTCCTCGCTATGCGCACTGACTAAATAACCTGAGAGAACGCATTATCAGTCAGTGTGCTGAAATCGACGGCAATGTACA